GTCTACCAAAGAGAGAGGAACTTTGGGTTCCTGACATCCTGGAGAGACCTTAAAGAGTTCCTTTCTCACTGGACCATCCTCTAACCCACAGAATCCCACAGGACCCCATACCAAAGTTCCCCCTCAGGGTCCTCCTTGGCACAAGTTACGACTTCAACACTTACTTGCCCTGGGCTCTGGGCTGGCCCCATTCTTATGGGATAACAGGACCTACCTCCTAAGGGCTATCATCGGGATCATATGCAACAAAGCAGGTGGTGGTAACCAGTACAGTGCTGGGTTCCCAGTACCTTATTTGTTCCTTTCTCCCATCAGCTGACCCCTCACCTATCCATATTATTCTTATTTACATAGTCATCCTATGTTTATCTTGTTGCCTCCATGTCTTCCCTTTGCCTGGCTGACTGCACAGACTGGGAAACTCTCCTTCCTGGCAATTCAGGGTCCTTCCAGAATGTACCCACCCAAAGGGGGGTTGATACTCCAGGCACCTGGTGCCCAGGAAGAAGAAGGCTGAGAAACTATGGAAGCAGACAGAAAAATGAGGAAATGGAGGGGGGTCCCTCTAAATGGTGGCATCGGGCTTTCCTAGTTCAAGGCCGCAGACAAGGCCCACCAGATGGCCTCAAGAAGACGTGGGGGCAGACAAGCAGAAACAGCCTATTCTCAGCTAGGCCACAGGCTCCAGCCCAGGTCCTTCCCTCTGTCCTCCTTCACATGGGCACCCTCCATCACCTCTTCCAAGCCCCCAGGTTATCTGTGCTCTGTGCCTGGCTCCCCCAACCCAGGGTCCCAAGAGTGGGAAGAGGATGAGTGGCACCAGTGACAGCTGTCCCCTAACAACAGTGCTATTCTGTTGCCCCAAGATGTCATCAGCCAAACATTCACACGGCCCCCTCTCTCCCAGGCCTGGGGGGAGAGGTGGGTGGCTGGTGTGAAAGGCAGGAAGCCACAACTCAAAGGAGGAGCACATCCCCAGCCCAGAACCCTGGAGCCAAAGAAGAGAGAGAACAAGGGCTCCAGGCAGACTCCGGTCAGCCCCCTGCCTTTGGAGATGGAGAGAAACCCTAAGGAGCACATCCCCAGCCCAGAACCCTGGAGCCAAAGAAGAGAGAGCACAAGGGCTCCAGGCAGACTCCGGTCAGCCCCCTGCCTTTGGAGATGGAGAGAAACCCTAAGACGAAAACTTCAGGCTTTCCTCTACCAAGAGATAGTATCTGCCTCCTTAGGGGCCCAGGGAAAGCCCCCAAAGGCAGGACTTTCTCCTCGTGTGCCACCTGCTGGATGGGGAAATCCATTAGAGACCTTGAAGAGGAGACAACAGGCAGGGATGGCCCCAAGGATCCCTCGACTTCTCCCTCCTGCTGTTCCTAACTAGCTCCAAACCACCATGGTGGAGGGGAAGTCAAATGAGTGTAGGGAAGTTTTCAGGGGCTGGAAGCAACAAGCGAGATTTCCTCAGGACTCAAACTTTAAAGCTCTCATGTTCCCCCACCTGAATGAGAGAGTGAGCGAGCCCTGGTTGCTAACACATCTGCTATTTCAGAGGGTTACCCATGCCCCCCGACCACCATCACTAGAGAGAAATAAACTCCAGGACTGGGTCCAAGCTTTGTTGGTATTCATGCACCACCCCTGCTGCTCCCCACCCCCCGCCACCCTAACTGCCTGGCATATAGTGAGGCTTTGGGCAATGTCCGATGAGAGAAATGCGCAGGAAAGGGAACTACGCTCACACTCTCCTATTTTGTGGTTACTAGTGTCCGCAGTTCCCTCTCTGCTTCATTCGTTTAATCATTCATTCATTCCCACAAGAACACATACACGTCATGTGTGTCTGCCAGGGAGACTGTTCCAGAGGGAGGGAGTAGAGCTATAGAAGGCATTGTCCTGGCCAGCCAGTACCTCCTGGCTGGAGGGGTTACGATGCCACTACCCTTGCAAGGCTCAGCGAGGTGCCCGGACTTCAGAAAAGTACTCACAAGAGGCTTGCAGAATTGAATTGGATCTTAAAGATAGTGAGCACCTGTGTCCATCTCAGCCCACTCCTCTCCCACCTGGCACCCTGGGGCGCTTGCCCCACAGACCATGACTCTTGAGACCCAATGCTCCCTAGGAGACAGCCCACAGCTGGGAGCACCACAAGGACTGAAAACTAGAGGGTGGCGAGAGATAGAGGTGCCAGCTGAGGTGTGGGGTGGGAGTAGACTGGGTGAGACTTACCTTTGCTGCTGCAGCAAGTTTTGCTCATCACGGCTCTGAGCCCATGACTCCTGTCTCTGGAACCATCTGCAGAATTTGCTCCATAGGCAGAGAATTAGCCCCTTCTTCTTGGTCAGTGATAACCCCATGGGGTATAGAGCCGGCTCCTTGGGGGGCTGAGGCCGGGGCCAGACCCCGACTGAACTCAGCCTTGGGGCTGCATCAGCCCCCCCAAGGGCCGGCCTGCCCTCTCCCTGTAGAGGTCCCGTCTTCTACGTCCCCTCTGAGTCTTCCCGTGGCTGCCCTGCCCCAGCCAGTCTGGAAAGGGCTCAAGTTTGTACACTTGGCAGAGCTGGGACTCTGCAGGGCTTGTCCGCCTGGAGCTCCTGCTGGGAGTGAGCAGGAGACTTACAGACACTCCCTCCCTCCTCCTAAATTACCTGCGATTTAAAGAGACAGGCCTCAGACCTGCCTACCTTGGGGGCTTGAGTCAATTCCAACTCTCTCTCCACCCAGGTCTCTCTCCCCACCCCCAGCCAGTCATGCCAGAGGAGGCCTTCAAACAGATAGGCAAGGCCTCCCCAGGACTTTGGGTCATCGGTGAGGTGACCTTTCTGGGAAGGCCTGGACAGGTCAGGCTAGACTGAGGGACTCCAGGCAGTATGGGAGGAGGGGGAGGAGCCAGGGTAGGCCCCGCCCAGGACTGCGAGTCCCCTGGAGTGAACGCCCACTTTCTCACAGTGTTGTTTGTCCACCTCCTTCCCCTCTGCTCTCTGTGCCTCCCCCTACTTAGGTCCTGGACTCTTCCAGTTTCATCTTTCACCTGGCCCAAGATAGTTATATAAGTAGAGAAGATTCTTAGTTCTCCCAAACTCTCCTCTCAGTCCCCTCACCAGCTTTTTCTGTAAAGGGACAGATAGTAAATGTAAATATTTTAGGCTTTGCAAGTCTCTGATGCACTTTTTTGTTTGTTTGCTTGTTTGTTTGTTTATTTTATTTTAACTTCTCAATATACATCGTAGTTGATTTTTGTGACCCTTTACCTGTTCCTCTTTCTCCACTCCCTCTCTCCACTCCCCCCCACTACATCATATTTGTTCACTTGTGAAAAGATGTAAAATCCATTCTTCGTTCACCTCCAGGGCACAGAGTCTAGCTGTAGGCAAACCCCTCTCCTGGAGCTCTAGAAGCCCTCTGCACAACACATGTGTATGCAGGTTGCCAAATAAAACGCAGCGCACCCAGTTAAATTAAAATTTCAGAGAAACAACAAAGAATTTTAAAAATATAAATATGCCCCAAATTTTGCAAGTGTTTTATCCCGCAACCTTCCAGTGCAGGTAGCATTTATTCACGGGCTAGCATACGTCGAGCCCTTTAACTGAGTGTTCTCACATGAACTCACGGCAAACCTGTGAGGCAGGTATGACCTGCATTTCACTGATGGGAAAAACCAGAGCTCAAAGTGGTAATGTAAATCCCCCAATGTCACAGAAGTGGCAGAGGCAAGATTCAAACCCACTCCTGACTCCAAACTCCCCCTTCTTTCTGGTCTACCACACTCGCTCTCATCAGCTGGCAAGCAGTTCTGGAGAGGTGGTGGGATGCCTGGCATGGTCACTCAGGAGAACGGACGGATGGCACACAGCACAGCCCACTGTCATCCTATGCACAACTCAACAGGAGCTAGCTGGAGGCCACTGTAAAGATGATTCAGTTCACTTCCCCATTTGCAAGAAATTGAGGCTCTGGCTTATCCAAAGTCCCACTCCAAGCCAGGAACCCAATGGCCTGGGGTGTTTAGAGTCACAGATCTGTATGTGTCACTCCCTAGCTTCAGAATCTGATTTTTTCCTACCTCTGATTCAGAGAGGAGGAAAATGCAGTGAGGGGAATATATGTGTGTGTGTGCCATGTGTGGTATGTGTGCACATGTGCATGTACGTGCTGTGTGGTATGTGATGAGTGTGGTGTGTGTATGTGATATATGTGTGGTGTGTTTGGTGTGTATGTGTGGTGTGTATGTGTTGTGTGTACATGATGTGTCTATGGTGTGTGTGGTGTGTATATTGTATGTGGTGTGTACGGTGTGTGTGTGGTATGTGTGTGTTGTGTGTGTGTGGCATGTGTAGTATGTGTATGTTGTGTATGGCATGTCTGGTGTGTGTATGTGGTGTCTGTAATGGGATTATGGTGTGTGGATGTGTGCATGTTGTGTATGTCTGTGTATGGTATGTGATGTGTGTTGTACGTGTGCTGGGTGTATGTTTATATGGTGTGCATGGTGTGTTTGTGTGTTGTATGTTCATGGTGTGGGTGTGTATGTGGTGTGTGTGCTTGTGTATATGTGTGTTTATTATATGGTGTGCATGGTGTGTGCAGTGTGGTGTGTATGTGTTGTGTATATATGATGTGTCTATGGTGTGTATATGATACATGGTATGTGTGTCATGTGTGTTGTGTGTCTGTGTGTGGTATACATAGTATGTGTATATTGTGTATGGTGCATATGGTGTGTATATATGGTGTCTGTAATGGGATGTATGATGTGTGGGTATGTATGTGTTTTGTATGTCTGTGTGGTATGTGTTGTGTTGTATGTTATTGTGTGTGTGTATATGTGGGGTGTGTGTGTGTTTGGTATGTGTGTGTGTGTGGTGTATGTGGAACATGATGTATGTCTACAGAGTCTGTGTATGGTATTTGCATTGTGTTTTGTGTATGGTGTATATTACGTGGTGTGTGTCACATGTGTTATGTCTGTGTGGTGTGTGTAGGGGGCTGGGGATGCCCAGGTGCGGTGCGGGGTGTCTCTGTTGGGCCGACGCCAGGCCACACAGCCTTAAGTAAACAGTGCAGATCAATTAGCTGCTTCTCCACCCTCCCAGGGTCCAGTGGTTTCGGGCTGGGTGGGGGGAAGACGCTAGAATCCAAACCTTGAACGCAAGACCTTTGTGCCCATTAAGCTAGTGTTTTTCTGTCTGCTGACCCACCCCATCTTCTCTGTCCTATTCAGCTCCAGACAAAGACGCCTCTTTGGTCCGAACGCAAGACCTTTGTGCCCATTAAGCTAGTGTTTTTCTGCCTGCTGACCCACCCCATCTTCTCTGTCCTATTCAGCTCCAGACAAAGACGCCTCTTTGGTCCCCAGTGGTGGAGGGGATAAGGCAATGATGTCCCTGTGGTGTGTGAGGGGGCTACAGGAGGACAGTAGGATGAAGTCATTTTCCAACTGTCCCTTGCTGGGCTTTCTCCACCTGGTGCTGCCTTTGCATGGTCAGCAACAGATGGGACCTGTGAATGGACTCCGAATGGGGGTGGAGGGAGAGCTAGTTTGCTGGATGCAAGCTTCTGACAGCAACAACACATACTTGGTTAGTGCGGGAGGGTAGGCCCTGGGGGGTGGGTGGCACACCCACAGGAGCTAGGAACAGCTCTCCTCCACTCGCCAACCTCTCTCACGTGTTAAAGCTACATTTTCTGTATCTTTCTGGATGGCTGGCTCTCAGGGGACGGGAAGGATGACCTAGACCTGCGCTTCTCTTGAGAAGATGGCCCTGTCCCCACTCCGAGGCCTGGGCCAGTTCATGCTGGGGAAGCACCGCCTGACCCCGGAGGAATCAGTTCTGCAAGCCAGAATCAAGAAGTGTCCACCGAGAGGAGGCTGTTGGTGTTGAGGGTGAGGGGAGATCTGCAGGGGTCAGGACTCATAGGGGAGGGAGGGCCTGAGGGCCAACCTGGATGGGTCTAGAACAGGCTGAGATACCCAGGAGGGAGTTGTTCTAACCAGATCTTCCTGCTCCAGGCTGAGCCTCAAACTCGCAGCACGAGTTAGGTCCTCAGGATTCAACTGAGTGGCCCTGGGGCCAGCGGGTCCACCAGCATCTGCCATCCTCTGAAGCCCCCTCCCCATCAGGGCTGGAGGTGGCCAGGAGACGGTATGATACTTGTGTCAGTCTGTGTGGCCCTGGCACATAGCCCTGGTTTGGAACACAGGAGCTGTTTGACGCATTTCAGGCAAATAATTCTCTGAGGGGGTTGTCCTAGGCATTGAAGGCTATTTGGCAGCACGGAGCCTCCACTTACTAGGTGACAGTAGCATCTCCTTACCCTCAGTTGTGACAATCAAAAAGGTCTTTAGACATTACCCAATATCCCCTGAGTAGCACTATCATCCTCCATTGAGAACCACTGGTTTAGGGCAAAAAAAGTGTATATATACACACATGTATTTATTTTATGTATTTATTATATATGTGTGTATGTATACATATTTCCTGTCTTTGTCTCTCTTTTGCTTGTTCTATGTCTGTTTCTCTCAGTTTTTCCTCTTACTGCATCTGTCACTGTGCAATTGTATCTCTGCTCCTTTGCTCTTAGCCTCTGTGCTAGCGTGTGCGATACTGTGTGTGTGTGTGTGATGTGTGCATGCGTGTGTGGTGTGAGTGTGGTATTTGGCATGTGTATGGTGTGAGTGTGGTGCATGTGTGTGTATAGTGTGTGTACTGTGTGCTTGTACATGTATGAGTTGTGTGTTGTGGTATG